AAGATTGAGGTGCGCTATCGAGAACTGGAGAGGTTTGCTGCCATTCAGAGCGGCAGGTAGCAAGTCATAGGGAGTCATAGTGGTCAGATGGAATGGCTTAAAGGATATCGAAACCTGTTCAGGGCAGGTCACCTGCTATAACAGCTCCCTAAGCACCCTGAGATAGGCGAGGCCAGGCGGGGTTGGCGCGTGGTAGAGAATAACCCGGAGCAAAGGTTCACCCGCCGCACGTGACACGCAGGAAAAAGACCGTGAGCCCCGGGAGAACTCGGAAGGAGCGAGGGAATGCGTGAGGAACAAGACCACCGAAAAGGCCACAGTCAGGCCATCTCTACTCCTTCTGTTCCCACTGCGGCTGCGTCCTGCCCATGATGATGAAATTTGCCGATTCCAGGTGTCTGATTTCAGACTGCGGATGATCTTCAATCGCTCACTGCTCTCCTCGTTGCTAGATGCTAGTAAGTGGATGATCGCGGAAGAGTCAGAGAGCCCCGCCGCTGTCTATCTTCTGCCTGTGTCTTGCTGTTGACCTCATCAGACAGCCATCTATGGAGACTAGGTAGATTCCTCCAGGCCCGAGGAATGATGACCTGTGCTGTGCTGTGCTGCGCTGTGGTGCTATTTCGTTTCATCTGTCCGTGACCGACAGGCTAACCAGCTCAGGGAGCAGGACACAAGCCATGCCCATGTGCTCACCTGCGATCCAGCCCAGCTCCCTAGAGTGTGTCTCTGCTAACGCTAACACGCTGGCATGACCAAGCAGGCAGTGAGTGTGCCCATCGATCTGAGTACGTGCCGTCTTTCGGCGCTGGTTCTAGATGCTGCTGGGGCGTTCAGACTCTCAAGGCACACCCGTGCCAATGAAGACTTTAACCACCTTCTTACACCCAAAAGGCCAACACAACTGCTGAGCGCCGTTAGGCCCTGCTTTCGCCGAGCCCGTGGGTGTGCCCAAACGAAAATAACCGACCTGATTTGCAACCACAGAGACCCTCGGCAGGGAGTGCAGGCCATGGGATGGTCGCATCACCACCGTATACCCCCTGTCGGTTCTCCACGATCCTGGCTCGTCACTGGTGGCGTGACTGCATTACTCACTGTGGCCTGGGATGGATCTTTTTTTCCTTCACGTCGAGGACCCTCTGCGCCCCCTCGGCTCCCCCACACAATGTGGAAGCATTAGTGCAGTCGCTGCAGTGCAGTGCGTGCAACAATGTGCTCGTATGCAGACGAGGCTGATCTGGTTGGATGACTCGTCGTCCATGGCCCACGCGCGGGAGTGCGGCCGACATGCAGGGCGCCAGTTGCTACCTTGTTCCTCGGTCCTCACTGGCTCAGACTCAGCACGCCGCACGCCGCATCACATCAGGCAAACAAGCGACTGCTGGCTTGGGTTTCTTTTTTCTGTTTTTCCACCAAGATGGGAGCTCCCGAGGCCCGCCCAGTCCACTCCGGTCGACACCACACACCACATCACTAGCTTGCTGCTATCCCATGCCCTGCCACTGACATGGGGGTGCAATGATCCCTTGAACTTCCGGCACTACGTACCATGCTGCCTGCCATACCTGATCTGATGAATTTTTACAGACTTGGCTTAATGTAGTACCCGCCTGAATGGGTTGTCCCGTGGTATGGCACGGTATGAATGAGCTGCCGTGCCTATGGCCAAGAATATATCAGAACATGCCCAACCTCCATCCCACCTCACATGGGTTCCGCTCGCCTGTCTCTAGATTTCCCCATCGTTGAATATTCTGCCTAATCTTTGCAAATGACTACCCTTACTGCCTGACAGAGGCAATTTATTTATCCCTTATATCTGCCCCTTCATTGTACGATAAGCTTGTGAGCCTTTGGTACAATTCAACAACGCCCCACCACCTCCCCTACCAACGCATCACTTATATCACATCATATTTCTGCCACCACACCACGATCTATCAACATATCTGCACATAATTATAAAAGCGTTGCCATGGAGAGCAACTCGCAAGCAAGCGAAACCATGTTACCCCTAAAACGCTTCGACAACTCCCCGCACTACGACCAGGACGACGACAATTCCTCAGTATTATCCAGCTACGAGCAGGGCTCTCACTCTTCAGTAGAATCAAAGTCCACTGCCTCGACGTCTTTGCGCTCTTCCAAAACCCCCCAGAAGCAACAACTAAAACCAATCGTCATCCAGAAGGACAAGGACATGGCAGCTACGTTCGGCTACCAGTTCAAGACTGAGGACCCTAGGGGCTCGACGGAAACCTACAATTCTGTCTTCTCGGAGGACAGCGAGTCTCAAGAGGACGACGACGAGAGTGATCACCAAACTATCCTGCCCACAGATGACGATATCCCCGCCGTATTACCCCAGTACCGTGCCTCCATAATCGATCCCTTTGTCAGGCCGTCGACGCCAGATGCCTTCGGGAGGCTGTTCCCCTCGATGGATCGCTTGTCGATTCGCCATGATGACCTGACACCCGATGGCAACATGAATCTCAGAGTCGACACAGTCGTCCCGGGGAGAAATGGTCGGCGTCCTCTCACCGTACAGCTGTTCCACTTGCGAATGCACGACCTGGGTCGCCGAGAGTTTTCGCTCCGCCGTTACTGCCGTGACTCTGGCCGAGAGGTCTGTAACTCCAAGCGAGCCTATGCTGAACCAGGACCGACTACACGCCCTGGGCTTCAACGGTCATTCTCCTCGGTCATGCGATCCGTCAAAGGCCTCCCGTTCCGTGTACACCACCATACTTCACAGTCCCCGCAGGGCAAGGGTCTAGCCGGCACCAGCTCTGCATCGTCGTCTTGGGATGCTATATCTCTCCGCTCTATGCGAATCCGCCGGGATTCTTGGACCAGCGACAAGCCACCCCCGTCGCCGTCTTGCCTGGTCCCCACCAACACGGTCAAGCTCGAGTTCAGCAACTATGCGCGCGTCGACATATCCAGGAACAACCACCACAAGGTGCACCACTACGACTTTGAGTGGTGGGGTCACAAGTACTCGTGGAAGCGCGTTCTCGACAAAGACCTCAGCGTGGTCTCCTACCACCTCATGCGAGACGGCCACGGCATGGCTGTCGCCCACATTACTCCTGAAATGAGGAGCCCCAACCAGATCCAAGAGGAAGAATGGGCCGGTGGTTGGATCCCTCCATGTCACATGTGGATCAGTGATCCGTCCATCGTGAATGCTGCTACTGATGTGGCTGAGTAAGTCATCCTCGTTTTCGCACATGAGCCGTTTATTGAAGCTAACTTGATTCCCAACAGCGTGATTGTCGCCACTGGCTTGATTGCCCTGGTCGATGACTGTATCAAGAACCGCTGGCATGCGAAGAAGCAGCCTAAGATGGCACGGTCCAAGTCAAATGATTTGACTCATACTCGCCGCCGCTCTCTTGTCCAAGAAATTCTTCACAGGAGACATTCGGAACAGCACAGGCGTCTGGTTGCTGCCTACTGAACGGACCCGCTGCTGGGCTCGTTTGTCTGGTCCTGCCACGCAGGTGTGAACGACCCATATGCTACGTGGCCAAGTAAAAAAGAAATTAGCCTTGCCAGATCTTTCAGGCACCATGCTTGGAACCTTACGAAGTCAGGTTGATGAAATTGAAAGAAAAAAAAACCCCCAAGAGGGAATCACCAAGAAACAACAACGACGACGACACGATTAGCTGAAAGAAGCAGCTGATGAAACTGCAATAGCAGAAAATACTGCGAGCCTAAGAAACGGCTTTAGGAGAAGAAGTATACCTCCTTGTTCATGATTGAAAAGACTACCTGATTATCCTTACTTCGCTTCGATGTATACTTTTTTCCTACCTTTTCTTGTTTCAGGGCTTTTTTTCTCACACCATTGCATTCTATGGACATATTGCCATCACATATTACTTTGCATCCGCGTCTATCTGACAGCGATACTTTCGTCTTTTCTTTTTTTCTTCTCATTTCAGCTGAGTACTGAGCGGCATCCAATGCCTGGCTACATGATGCTCGAGTGGAGCATATCGATTGCATTGATGGATTTGAATAATGGCGCGTCGATCTGGCTGGAGTCTTTCGAAACATAATTTGTTTTATTCATTCATCTTGGCCTGGTGCCGGGAATTGGGCGTCAATTGGGAGTGGCATGGTTTCTAGACTGCAAGCAGGGAATGGTTTTTTTTGGGTTTCATAATGGTTGGTTTTCACAGATCACGGGAGCATGTTTTCATAGCGATAGAGAATGCAACGAACGGGGCGAGAACGCAGTCCCCAGCGCGAGATTTTGAAGCGCCTCACTTTGATTCCGACTTTCTACTCTCTTTCTCATTTTCTTCCCGTTTCAGGGGGTCTCAGGCGACAGGTCCTGGATTTGAGATTGCAAAAATTGTGAATCAATCTACATAACTTTCAACTTGACAGACGTCACAGCTCATTCAGTCAAACGACAGCGGTCTCTAAAATTGATCAAATCTCAGAATCAGCCCTAAGCAGGGGGAGAGGGCTGAATCCATCCATTTCCTGAACACACACGTCGCGTGGACCGTCTCACGTGGCAAACCTTCATCCACCTGTTTGAGCCTGTCGAGTTTCACATGAAGCCTGCTGCCCAAAACCGAGTCTCAGGTCGCCCATCCCAGAACGACATGGTTGCACAAGAGCCTGAGGCCGGCTGCCCCATCTCCTTGAAAGCAAAATCTCGATAGCTACGTACACGTATCGCCTCCAATGACGAAACCCTCCTCTCTCCCTCCCCCTTATCTCGCGCTCACCGCCATTATGACTTGGGTACCGCTCCAGGAGCTGGGAGATCGTCCCCCGGCGAGAAAAGGCTTTTCCCGACAGGCATCGCCCAACTGGCCCGCCCGGCACGCGAGAGAGCGCTTCCGGTAGAATGAAATATGACAAACCCACGTTTTTTAAGCTCCTTGGCTCCCGCTCCGCTCCCTTGCATAACCAAGCGGATACTATATCCAGGTCCTTGGATCAATCTCAAAAAGACTAGACTAGACTTATCCTGAAAAGTCGAGAACCGTCTCGTCCTCCTTCAGCTGCGTATACCCCAGCGTCTCCCTCCACAGCAGCCGCCTCTTCCCGTCGTCCCGCGCCTCGGCCGTCATCTCCTCCACCCTCGACCCGTACAGGAACAGACCCCCGGGCCGGACCCCCAGCGGCGGCGCGGTGCCCAGCGCGGCGTCGACGAGGTCCTCGGACGCGAGCGTCACGGTGCGCAGGGCCGCGTTGCGGTTGAACCAGGCGATGAGGGGCGCGAGGAGGCTGATGACGAAGAGGGGGACGAAGACGCGGATGAGCCAGGGTCCGCGGCGGGTGATGTTTGTCGGGACGGTGCCGGGGTCCACGCCGAGGACGCAGATGTTTGCGAGGGCCGGGTCGGCGTCCAGGCGGCGTTGGAGCTCGCCTCTATTCGGTTGAGTTAGAACTTATCAAGTCTATTGAGAAGAAGGGAGGAATGGGTTGTTTACATTGTGAGAGCTTGGCAGAACTTGGAGGCTCCGTAGCGTCGGTAGCCGCCGGATGGGGAGGGGTCGTCTGCCGAGCTGCTCCATGTCCCCTTTGCGATGGGCTCGAAGGTGCCGGATGTGATGAATTGATGCCATTTCTTGTCGGCGAAGCCGGCGTGTTTGTTCTTCGGGTTAAGAGGGCTTTTGACCAGTTAGAGAGAAAGATACAAAGGTTAAGGGATTGGTAAATGTAGATGACTCACTCGTAAGACTCGCTGGTCACAAACACGATGCGTCCCGACTCCTTGTCCATGCTTTGGAGGAGCAGCATGGCCAGGAGCCAGTGGCCGAGATAGTTGGTCGCAAAGGTCATGTCGAAGCCGTCCTCGGTCCATCTCTGCTCGGTGAACTCGAGATAGCCCGCATTGAGGATCAGAGCGCGAAGGGGCGGGATGTCTCCAGAGGCCACGCGGGGGTTGATCTTGGCCGCGACGTCGCGCACGGCAGAGAGGTCGGAGACGTCGAGACTCAGGATATCGTGGGGGTGAGGGGACGTGGATCCCGATGATGAGTGAGATCTATACAGCGCGCTCTTCAGCTCCGATGCGGTCTCTGCCTTGCGAGCCGTGTAGAGGCCGTGGTACTCGGTTGAGAGTGCAGGGCTTGATGCGATCCGGGATGCGATTGCGCTGCCGATGGTGCCACTGGCGCCTGTGAGCAGGATGGTGCCGCTGGGCTTAGATCCGGCTGATTCTGTCATACTGGAAATGACGATACCTGCAGATGTGAAAGAGAAGCAAGAGGAATAAAAATGCGGTTGCGATACGGGTTACGATGACGCCTGGCCTGGACTTATAAGATGCTACCTCAAACTCCGGCGGGCTGTCAGACGGTGCGTTTCTCCCAAAACGGCAATCCAGCTCACAGCGACTAGCACTGAAGTGATTTAGCCTGTAAATAAGCTTCACTCACACGGTCCATCATATCATCTGAATTATAAGATTAAACCCTTATGAATACTCTTCACAGCCTCGCCTCCGTCCTAACGGCAAACCTCCTCGTCACCTCCGCGGCGCCCCCCTTCTCCCGCCCAAACATCCTCCTCACATCCCCCGCCAGCTCCTCGGGCCTCTCGTACGCGGCGAAGTGCCCTCCTGCCTCGTGCCTCGCCTCGAACACCACGGGCCCCAGCGTCCTCCCCCACCGGAGCGGCAGGACCACCAGCTCCCGCGGGAAGTAGCTGAGCCCGAGCTTCACTCCCGGGACGTACTCGGCCGCCCGGCGGCGCAGGTCCCCGCCGTCCCTGAGCAGGCCGCGCGCCTCGAGGTAGATGCGCACGCTGGCGGCGGGGCCGGCGCGCGAGAACTGGTAGACGGAAATCCACGTGAGGACCTCGTCGTCGGTCCAGGGGTAGGCGTCGGACCAGTCGTGCAGCTTCTCGTGGATCCACGCGAGCAGGCCGACGGGCGAGTCGGCGAGGGAGAAGCCGAGGGTGGAGGGCTTGGTGCCCTGCTCGGTGCTGTAGCCGGTGCCGGTGACCTGGAACTGCGCCGTGCGCGCCAGGCCGGCCTTCTCCTCCCTGGAGTAGGGGAGGATGGCGTGCAGGAGGTACTGGAGGGGCGTCCTGAGGGTTGGGGGCCTGGAGATGACCGTGTTGATGTGCGTGGCCAGGCAGTGGGCTGGGTACTGGATCGCCATGAGGCGGGTGATGAGGAAGCCCCAGTCGCCGCCTTGGGTCACTGCAGAGTAACATGGTGAGTTTCATGTAATTGTGAAGCAGGCCGTGGGTGAGTGATTCTCATACCGTATTGGTTGTATCCCAGCTTCAGCATGATCTTGTGCATGGTCTCGGCATACTGAGGGCCGCTGAACCCCGGCTTCGAGACGATCTGAGAGAAGCCGAAGTTGGGCAGGGACGGAGCGACCACATGGAACGAAGGGTCTTTCTCGTCCCTGGGCTCTGTGAGCAGCGGGATGATCTTGATAGCCTCGAGAAAGCTCCCAGGCCCTGCAAGTAGGATTAATACTCTGCATGATTAACCATTGATGAAAAGCTTCAGAACGTACATCCATGGCAGAAGAGCAGCGGGATGCTCCCTGGCCTCGTGCTCTTCGCATGCACGAAATGGACATTGATGTCCCCGAACCCCTCAACCGAGACATCAGTGGTGAAATGGGCCAGCTCGTTCAGCCGGGCCTCCTGCTCGCGCCAGTTGAACCCGTCCCGCCAGTACCGCGCAAGACGCTTGATCTCGCCGAGGGGCACGCCGGATCCCCAGTCCTCCAGGAAGCTGGCCTCCTCGGGGAACGTCGCGAGATCCAGCTTGGCATGGAGGGTCCGGATCGCCGTCTCCGGCACGGCGATGGTGAATGGTTTGATCTCTGACATGTTGATATCTGTGCCTGTCTCTCTACAATGTATTGGTATCAGGATGGATTACATGCTCTAGGATATCGTCTCGAGACAGGTGACGACTGCAGTCGCATCAAATAAGGCTCGGAAAACACACCCGGCAGATGGCAAGCCGCATAACGGTGCCAAGCAACGGAGGCGTGGATGGAAGCAGGATTGGCCAGAGTCTCGATGCTACATCAACCATAACTCGCACCCCCTCGGTCCAATATCACGCTACCCCATCTCTCAGTCGTTATGCCGTTGTCAAACATGACGCTAGATGATCTCACCATCGAACTATGTATCAATGCCGAGGTGGGTGATATTGCTATGCGCGTCGTATAAGCCATGCATGTCCTGCCGCATTCAATGCTTCCCCTCACGATACGACTCTGCACGACGTATCACCATTGTCACATATGTTGTCGCTGCGAGAATTTAATAGGTTCATTCTTGTTACATCGGCTTCGAATTTGTAAGCGCCTACAACCGAGGTTTTTGATACGCCAAGGCAACAAAGACTCTAAAGTTTATGGCAAGCAGAAACGGCAAAGCAATGTTTCTAAAGAGGGTATTATTATTCATAATTCGTGACTGGTCGTAACGTAGTTTCTACCGTCGTCAGTGTAGAAATCTAAGGTAGAAGGGACAAGATGCTTCACCGTTGCATCAATCCGATTGGGGGCCAAGCCAGGTGCCGAAATCCAACTTCATCAAAAGTCTAGTGATACTTCCCAGCCGAGGTGGCCGATACCCCAGAGTGTCATCCCCAAAAGACATGTCATGCTCGTCGCTCGCTGCCTCATCTCTGGAGGCATCATCACCTTCCCAGGCTGCAATAAATTCAGGGTCGTTCTCGAGGGACCTTAGAGCCGAGACAACGTCTCCTATTCCTCGCTGTACCTTTCGCTCTACGCCTCGAAGTAAAGCCGTGACCTCGGCTTCCTCGGAATGCAGATCTACAAATGCATCCACAACACCCGCGTCCGACTCGAGGTCAAGGGCAATAAATATAGAGTGGAGCCGATGGGTGTGGGCGACCAAGTGATCGACATGGACAAGGAGAGAATAGAGTGCCTCCGTGAATGTAACCTCGGTGAGGAGGATGCGATGTGCTAACGTGCGAAGATAGAGGGCGTGAGCGGTGGCCAAAGATTGAGGATCATGAGGCGGGTGACTTTTAGTGGCTGAATTTGTGTCTCTCTGCTCGCGCTGGTTTCTGGAACGAGATGGGGATTGACTATCCTGAAGCCAAATATCGTCCCCATCAGACTCTTCCTCAAGTTCATCTCCGCCATCCACGCCATCACGGCGGTTCTCGGAATCTGTGCCTGGGATACCTGTCGTAGTGTTTGTATTACCTGAGGACGAAGTTAACCATGCATGGAAATGAACCCAAAGCGCCTCGACAATATCAGTCTGCAGGAAAGCCTCGGTTTCTGCCAGTAAGAAAATGGCGGCACTCGCTGTCGTCCAGGAACTTCTCATTGAGGTAGTCCGCGCCGACCATCTTTCTCGCAGCTCGACAGTCATCTCATCAGCTCCGCTGGGCGCAGGGTGATGTCGTCGCAGAGATGAAATTTTCCACAGATTGGTGAGCCTGATGTGGGCACGGCGCATTGAGAGCAGATACGAGTTTATGCACGAGTATAGATAGAGATCTGCTGGAGAGAATACCATGTCGAGGGGGGAGGGCAGCTGCATGGACAAGGCTGCCGGTACGGTGAAGAGCAGGGTTCGGAATGGGGACGAATTGAGTGTTTTTATGACCTTGACTCTGAGTCCAGGCCCAGGTGCCAACGGTGATGGGGCTTCGGACTTGACTAGATGAAGCCTTAGAAGATCACGGGCCAGTTCCAGTTGCTCGTCTTCATCAGCATGTTGGCCTTGCATGGAAGCAAGAAACGCCCACGTTCTAGCCAAAACGGCCGCCACCTCGCCTTCCTTGACAGTTATGCCACGAAGGCTTACTCCTCCCTGTTCATGAGCCAGGTTTTCGGCAGCCTTCCATCTCTCGCGAAGCTTATCGTCAGCCTCGTGAGTAAGCGCCATGGCGAATTCACCACGACGGAGGAGGAAGAACTCCCTGAGTAATTGCAGCATTTCAATGACCTTAGACAATGGTAGAATTCTTTGGAGAGTGTTTTCAGATAAGGATAGACGGATGGAAGTGATGGTTCTGGAAAAAGTTGCCGAGTCCAGTGGGAAGCTGAGGCTGGAAAGCTCCCTTAGCTTGGACGATAGATGGTCTAGTCCACGAAGCTCTGAATCAATGGAGCTCTTGACACGGACGTGGTTGAGCGATCTGCCGATGAATAGCATCGACAAAGCTGCCTTGGGTGACACGAAGGAGGGTAAGAACCGAGGAACGCTGTGAAACTCGTCGCCGCCCGCCACCCGGGCCTTTTGTACGAAGAAGTCGCTGCCGCCGAAGCTCGGGAGCCTCCCGTACAGTATCCATGCAGAAACTTGCTTCAACCACGCTGATTCAGCAGCAGTAACAAGACTCAGAGCCGTCTCCTCAATATCTCTATGGCCGCTCTGGATCTCGCTCCGCAGATGATTCATGATTTTGGCAGCATGACATGTCGACCCATCCGAACCCTTTGAGGTGATGAATTTGACCAATTCCCAGAGCCACTCGATCCGTCTGGTCCAAGGCGTGAACTCTGCCACCACAGCAGTAAGAGGCACAATGTTATAAGCACCAACATATTCCGTGTCGTTATTCAGGATTCCCCTCTCCACTTCAAGAACCTTGCGTTGAAAGGCGTGTAGGTGGATCGAATCGATGGCAGTAGCAACAGCTCGGCAGACAGCAGAAGGGTGCTGGGAGGCAAGATCTGCGGTCGAGGTCATGAGCTTGACGTGGAGCTCGCTGAGATGGGCAATCTGGGCTAGCAGTTCTCGCTCGGGGGGTGTGATGCCTGCATGGGAGTATGATTCGGAGGAGGTCGGTGCGGAGCGCAGAAGGGGAGACGGGTGTCCCGAGAGGGAGAGTAGGATCTCGTGTAGCATGGCTGCTTGGGTCTAAGGAAGCGACTAATATTTCTAAACATAAGAATAATTGATCCGAGAGGCTCGAAGCGACACATCTATCGGTATCGTAGGGCGGAGGGGGTGTGTCGTGGACGTGGGCCGGCAAAGGGCTAGCTGTCGGCCTGGGGATCAGGCTGCGCCCGGAACCTTTCGCATATCAAGACAGGCGTCAGAGAAACTGGTCGAGAATCGCGATTCTATGTTATCCAAGGGTTTGCGGCTGGACAAGCAAGAAGTCGATTAAGTGTGTAGATGTGGTGGTGAGGGTTTGATCTTGTTGTAAAAAGTCCAAGATTGAGCAGCTCATGCTGTAGACAGACGCGGGGTCCAAAAGTGTAGAGCAGGCGCGACGCGCCTTTTGCGGGGCAGAGCTTTCCTTAATTGACCCCGGAACACCATAATCAATCTACCCTGTAGAGATGCGCAAGACTTTACAAGGCGGGAGCTTATCGAGGAGTCGCGCGCCTTGTTTGATATCATCATGAGGTCACAGTACTGCATCTCTTCTGAATTCGAGTACATGTAATCGACTGAATAATTAGAGGAATTAACATACGTTAGTTAAAGGTGATGCAGCCTATGTACGTTCCTTACTGTCGGTCCGTCATGCTTGATTCGCATCTCCGCCTACTTTTTGTTCTTGGGCTTTACGTATAGCGAGGCTGTGATGGACCTGGGGCTCCATCCTTGAGCGGCCGCGCGCTGTTGATGCTCCCGGCATCAAAGTTGTCCCCAGTGCCGTTCCCGCCTGTCACAGAAATATTCTCGTCACCTTGTCCACCAACAATAACCCGGCCTCCACCCTTGACCTCGCCGACCACCATGCCCTTGGCCACGCTCTTGAGGATAGCTCGGCGCGAGACTCCAGTCACATCAATGTAGACCAAGCCCACGTTCCTCACTCCGCCGCCAAGGTGGGCAGCGACCTCCCCAGCCTCTGCACCCCAACGATGACCAACAACAGTGCTCATACTGGTGGCGCCGCCAGTCAGGAGGTTGCGGCCAGCTTGCTCCACACCATCAAAGACGGTGTTGAAAGCCATCAGACTCTTGTTCAGAACGCCAGGCTTGTAAGTATCGATTGGGTTTCCCTCCTTATCAAAACCACGCGCATTGCCATTCTTGCGCTTCGTGATGTTGGCTCCAATGTTCTGGGCATACTTGCTAACAGTACCAACGGCAGCCGAGGACAGGCCTGCGGCTTGGGTCGAGAAGGTGTTAATGCGGCGGATGTTCTTGTGCGCAGTCGGCGTAAACGTAACGGGCTTAACGGGCTTGGTCGACTTGGTGAAGTTGTCTGCCTGTGACATGAGAGTGCGAGTGACAAGGTCGGAGGTGGTCACCAGCAACTGGGAAGCCTGGGTGGCTTTGTTGACCAGTGTCGACTTCTTGTAAGCCGGGTGCATCTGGAGATTTTCATATTCCAAAGGTGCAGGCTTGACGGAAATGTTGGTCTTCCCGTCCTCAGGCAACGCCACCACAACGGGGTCTACAAAAAGGGAATCTCGGGTCAGCTATCATACTCCTTGAAATTGTCCGACGACGGCATGTAAAAGAAAAGGCCAATAGAACCAAAGAAACTCACCCTTGGAACCAGGCTTCACTCCGGTATCTTCCACGACGTTATAGCCCTCCCCGATCTCACCGATGACACTACCATCCGTCTCATCGACCAGCACGATTCTACCTCCCGCCGCAGTGCCAGCCGGGATATGACTTCCCGTGGCATAGTTCTCATCCGGGCCGTAGTCTGCGGGGTTATATGGGGGGAGCTCCTCGCCGGCGGCCTCCCTGGCCTTGGCTTGTGCGCCGGCAGACTGCGCCGCCTCTTGCTGCTTGCTCGATGCCGGAGCGGGAGCAGGTGTGCGCTCTAGGAACGAAGTCCCTTGTGCGAGAATGGTCTCGAAAGTATCGACATCTTCCTGGATGTTCTGCCTGCTACCATACTCGGGGAA